CAGCAACACGAAGCGTAATTGCTTCAAGCTGTCCTGAGTAACGCTTGGTATTTGCATGGCCGCTTTGGACCACGTGAAACAACCGAAGGGATCCAGAAATCAGGGCCTAGTGTCTGTGGAAGAACCAGTCGGAACCAAGATCGATGCGTCCGTTTCCATGAAGGGGGTCAGGAACTTAGATTCAGCACCGGGCACATGTGGTTAAAAGCGAATGTATCGCCTCAAAAATGCAAACCACAAAGCGATCTCAACGGCCTCCGACCCATGGCGAAACCAGCAATCTGTCCGAGCGAAGACAACTGCCTTTTTAAGGGCTAGCCTTCAGAAGCCATGGCCGAAGCGGAGAGAGCGGCCCAAATACACAGGCGGGAGCCACCGTGACCACTATAACTAAAACATGTGTTGTCTGCGATAACTTTGCCCACAATCGCCCCAGCCGTATGTCATGAAACTCGTGATTTAGTCGACTGACATGGCCGTGACCTGGCCAAGCCCAAGCCAGTCACTGTCCAGGCCATCTCACCTGGCGAACTGTCGTGGGAAGACTTCCACGTGGAGCCCCGTAAGCCTCATCGTCGTAAGTCGGACTTCCAAAAGGAGACTTTACATGCGGCGTGATGTAGGAATGCGTCTAACTCCTTCAGCTCACGTGTTCGTACCGTTCACGCGGTAACCCCTGCGTGTGTTATCACTGCACAAGTGAGACGCCGCGAAATGTGTCATTGGTAGGGCTTGTTGGACCAGCAGCACGACTGCCGTGTCTGATCTGCTCATCGATGTATGTTTATCGTACGGTTATGGGTATCTGTTACAAGGCCTCCGAAAGACGCAGTTTCCTAGTTCCAATCGCGGAAAGCGTCGCCTTCGCCAGTCGAAACACACACGCACCCACACAAACACTAATACTCTGGATGTGAACCAGTCCATCCGCTCCCCACACATACAAACATCCAAAGGCGCGTGGACCAGTCCAAACACAGATCGGCCTGCAGATCGCCCAGGACACAGCATAGAGGACAGAGCCTGCAGATCGGCTAGGACACGGCACAGAGGACAGAGCCTGCAGATCGGCCAGAACAAAGCACAGAAGACAGAGCCTGCAGACCGGCCAAGACACAGCACAGAGGACAGAGCCTGCACACCTGGCCAGGACACAACACGGAGCACAAGGTCTGCAGACCGGCCAGGATAGAGGCAGAGGGACAGAGGCCTGGCAGATCGGCTAGGACACGGCACAGAGGACAGAGCCTGCAGATCGGGCCAGAACAAAGCACAGAAGACAGAGCCTGCAGACCGGCCAAGACACAGCACAGAGGACAGAGCCTGCACACTGGCCAGGACACAACACGGAGCACAAGGTCTGCAGACCGGCCAGGATAGAGTGCAGAGGACAAGGTCCGCAGACCGGCCAGGATACAGTGCAGAGGACAGAGCCTCTCCGTTAGAGTCGATCACTGGACTCGAATCAGCAGCCGGCCCAATCAGCTGGGTGTCCCCCTCCCCACCGACACTGATTCTACGAATTCGCGGGATTAGAGGGCCCATCGCATTTGGGACACAAACTCAATGGAGTACCTACTGGGTCTACGCTGATTGCTTAGGAATTGATGGATCATGACAACTGGTCTCTTCATGACTGATAAGTTAAGATAGCGCGATGTCAACAACGTAGTGCGTGTCTTCACCTGCGACACGCCGCATCAGCGGATGCGCTCGGAGCGAGGAAACTGTACAATGTAAGGAGTGACGCAAACGTCCACAACGCGATACAAAAGGATCGCATAAACACCCGTGACACACAAACGTAAGAACATTACACGAATATGCAGCTTGCTTTGACTATCTGACATCCTGTCAGCACGGAACGCCACCCCGAAGACGTCCCGCCCCATTCCCCACGCCGCCGGGCCGCGCCCACTGGGCCGCGCCCGGCGCCGAGGGGCGGGCGGTATGTGGTCGCTTACCCCTCCTTGGAGCCGTCTGGCAGGAGCCCATTGGGCACCTGCACATAGAGACGCTGCCGCCAGAGAACGGTCTCCCAGCGCGCGTTCAGCGTCGTCGTCAGGGTCATGGTGATGCTGATCCTGACGGGCTGGCTTTCGTCGATGTTTGCCAATTCATTCTCCTGCCGCACAGGTCCGCCGGGGTAGCGTCAGTACCAGGCCCGGCTGCGGGCGGCGCCGCACGGCGACGGGCGGTGCGACGGTTAAGCTCCAGGGCCGTCACACACCCAGGTCAGCTGGGCTCCGGCGGCTCAGGGCGACATCGTACATCGTACGACATCGTACATCGGCATACAGCTAGACAATTCTATCGCGGTGTTAAAAGGTCAAGCTATCCAGAGGCAGGACTCATGGCGACGGTGGGGGGGCTTTACGCGCGAACATAAACTTTGAATGTATAGAAGGTCAAGCTCATCGAGCTTTCGGTAGTGCGGGCTGGCTGAATATTGCCCAGTACGACCCATCAGAATGCTCGGTAAGACTACATCAATCGTCACTCCCGCAAGGGCGAGGGTGTCGGGTGCAGAGGGCGGGGAAGGGGCAGTGGCCCCTCAAACTTGGTGAAATCTTGCGTTTGCCGTCCCGACTCTCTTGGGAGAATTTACGACACGAATGCATTTAAAGTGCGATCCTCATTTCTTGGTATGCGTCTGCACCCCTGTTTTCCGGTCCACGCTGTACTTACAATTACGCAACGAAAATTCGAACGAGGAAAACAGTTTGAATCAGGGCTAAGCACGTTGCATTTCCGCCAACCCAGCGAATCCAACATTTTAAATGAAATCGCACAAACACCGAGTGGCGTTTTTTTAACCTAGCGAATCGTACACCTCGTACGTCTAAACGAAGCATCTGTTGCACATGACGTGACAGCCCGGCGTAATATCTCATGAGCCAGCTGACATTCCAGGTCTCGAGCGCCGGTATCACTGGCATCGTCGGCACCCCGTGGGAGGATCGCGTGATGACGCACGCCGCACAACCTCTCAAAACGGCGGTGACAACGGCATGGCCGGACGATTCTGGATCTCACCGGCCCCGGCGGGCGCGCATTTGCGTTGTTGACGCGACATCTTCGGGAAAGCGCGCGCGACTTAACGCGCGAAGACGTTGCCACGCCCGGTGGGGCTGGTCGGACGGCCCTAGCACTTGTGGCCCGCAGCCGGCAGCGGCGGCCGCCCTTTGGTGTCTTCGGTTGTGCGGAGATCAATAGGGCGCCAGTTTTTTGGACCCGTCGCCATAGCAACACCGCACAACCACGCCAGCACGTAACAGACCCAAATGGGCGTCAAAGCCGGCATTACGTCACCTTCGGACGGTTGTAGCAGACGTCGAAGAGTTATGTCTGAATTCGGGGCGTCACATTGGGAGAGAGTCGCTCCAGGTGTGCATGCGCATAACGGTCCTCCAGGTCACACAGAACGTCACACAAAAGGTCATGGCTCTTAAACCGTCAGAGACTTGTCACCGCCCGCAGGCTGTTCAAGACGAAAACATCACGCGTGCAGAGCCAACGTGGATGTTGTGCAACTTTCAAGGAACAACACAAAACTGTGCTAACAGATCCTTCTACGGTCAGGACTTGACTGTTGTCGGGGAGTGTATCGACTTGGCTAAAACGTGGATCGGTAAGTCTTTTAGACAAGAACGCGTTCCCGGCATTAGGCCCTGATTGACAATCAAAGGTCAGAGGGAGGAAATCATCGTGCAATCGTGACGATCGTTCGATTATGTACTAAAAAGCGGCCTCAGTGACATGGGCGATAGCACACTGAGCAAACGTGATATAGGCGATAACACGCTGAGTACCCCTATCACGGTCGCAGCGGCACTGCACTGGCAGCAACAATGCGCCAGGTCACGATCAAAACAGCGATCTGATCACAAAGTCGGGTTTATTTTAAAATTCCTAACCTAGAATAATGCACACAAATAGCAGCGCGTTGGATAGTAATGCTCTTTTTAATTTACGACAAAATCTTTCTGGAAGGCATGATCTCCAAATCCAAACGTGACATTAAAAAGCGATAGCACCACGGATCAAGACATTCCTTGGGTCTTCTTACTCATGGTGGCTGCGAGAAGAATGCTTGCAACTAAAATTTTAGCAATATATGTCGATGGTGTTAACTGGCAATTTATAAAATGGCTACCAGTAATAAACGTTGAGCTAAAAAAAAATCCATCGAATCCCGGGGAGATTTTGCACCAACGACACTAAAAAGTGGTGCTGAATCAAGTAAATGAGGACAAAAGTTGCACATGCTTGAGCCAACTCCACTTGAGCGTGTTAAGCGTGGTGTTGCGGGCGCCGGGCTGACCGCGGTCAGCTGAGGCCAGGCGCTGAGGCGGCCGGGGCATCTCGTCTGCGTGCTGTGGGTGTCCAGCCACCGCCCAGCGGGGTCGCAACTTCCACGCCACAAGGGCGGACTCGGGTGACCGGGGAAAGAGGTGGTCCAGTGCACCAGTACGCGCCTTCAGCTCGGTGGCGTGACGCTGTTCGGACGATACGATCCTCTATGGCCGGTGCCTCGCATGCGCGTCGACTCTGTCGATCTGTGCGTATGCAGGCAATCTAAGTTCCTGATTCAGCAGTGCTTTAAAGTTGTTCGAGGGCGCAATCCCATGGATCATGATGAAAGGAGAGTTCTCCGAGTTTATTGAACAAATGAAGGTGCCATCAAAACTACATCTGACAGCTTTAAAACGTTTTTGTGGCACGTCAAGGTAATTGTAGTTATTCGGCAACAAATTGGAACCAGGTCTGACGTAGTTACTTAGACCTACGTACGCGGCGAGACTTTTATACTACTACAGCCTATCTACTAAAATGACTGAAAATGACAATTACCTGAACCAAAGCTAATCTAACCCTAAACCCAACCTTATAGCCAGATACAGTCGGATTCCTCTCATGACAAGCGAAATGCCCGGCTTTGTTACGCACCTCCAGCTCAGTAGCGGGCAGAAGGGACACAGCGTAACCAGGGTAGGGTGTTCGCATAACTTGGCCGGCGCGTAACTTGTGAGAGGGGAGTTCAAAATGGCTAAAAATCGTAGGTTGTAAAACCTCACGATCTGCAACAGATAACGCCAATTTAAGACGAGAACTGTTGCAAGAGCAGGTGCAGTCTGAAAACATTACTTTGTCTACAAGGAAGAGGCCTTTTTTAAATCAACCGAGGTCACGGACCACTGTTGCCTTACGCAGACTTTCTTGTATTGTGCTACATCTGAAATATTTCACGTCGTAGAATCTGAACTTGGGGAGCATTTTTTAGTTTGGTATGCCCTATCAAAAACTTCCACGGCACCCAGGCGTGCCGCCAAACTTGGCTAACCAGACATAAATTCGCTACAAATTATGTTTGGTATACCACTGAGCTTAGAACATGTTGTCGTAAAACTTTGCATAACTCTCTAGCGGTCATCCAATGTCTCAACACATTCAGGTTTTCGCTCTGCTCCTGTTCAAACGTACATTTAACCTTTCTCCCAAAACTCGGGGCCTCGACCTAGAAGGTTAGTGAATTAATCATGAGACCCTTAAAGCTGACTTCCAGTGATACTCCTTCATGGCAAGCAATTCACTGATTTTTGTTTTATGGCTCCAACTGAGAATACCGACCAACACCAGTACCGGATGTTATTACCCCGAGTTTTTCCACTCATTTCATCCTTTTCCCGGGTTTTCTGTTCCCCGCACGACAAAATAGTTCCAAGCAATCGGACTCGCGCATGAAACAGCCTACGGAGAAATGACATGGCCCTTTTTGGACGTCCCACATAAGTATTGGCCGTTTTGAAGACAATCTGGCCTACTGTGCAGCACGACCACTGGAGGCCAGCAGCTCATTGCACAGACCGTGACGATCTCGGCCAATAACAGATGGGAGCCGCCGTCATACATCGCCTCAAGGCTGCCAGCAGCCGGACCACCGACAAGAACTGTGCAGCCAGCTGCAGGAGACGCGGCCACATTCCAGTACAGCCAAACAGCGACTCCTCAAAGCCAGCCGCCACGTCCACGGCTCGCTCCATCGACCACCGCGCCGTCCGAGCAGACGGCGGTGGCGACGCGTGGGCCGCCAGCCCACCGTGCTGATCGGTCACGAGACATCGGCCGGACCCGACAGGCAATAGGGGAGCCGCAGGACGGGTGACGCAAGACACCCGGCGATGACAAGGCGCCTCGGCCGGGCCGCCGTCACAAACACAGCTGGCCGCCACGGCGCGTCGAACTCACTAGCTGATTTGGCAGAAAGGGCTCTGTAGATTTCCCCACGCCGCTGCCCTCTTCGTTACAAGACACAGTTCTGGCGGCATGGGGGGGCATCAAACCCAGTGCTGCCGCGCTGCCCCCACGTGGACGCTGTAGTGGGGCATGCTCATGCTGAAACAGAGGAGAGCCGGGTCAGACTGGGCCCACCAGGCGGCCCACCACATCCGCTGAGGCAGCTGGCCGACACAGCACTGCTGGTGATCAGATATGGCTGGCGATAATCTGGACACGACCTTAATTCCCTGATTTACCAAGAGACTCCCATCGACACATATAAACGCACATCGATTAGCTAGACACAGAACTGTATACGGTCATACGCCTCTGCCAATGGCCACGAGGAGTCCCTGGGGGCATCTCTGCCAACCTGGCCGAGCACGCGGTGCATTTCCGTGATCAATTATTGACCACTACCAAGCCCGTGGCGTGCACAGAGCCCAGGGCACGTCTTGTACTGCCTTATGTAAGCGCAGGGCTAGCGATACCGAGTCAGGCAGCCTGCAGACCGTCGCAATATGGTGCCCGCGCGGCCAGTGGACCCGAGCGCCGGGGGGGAGGGGATCTCCGCCGGATTATTCGCCGGCTGGCGGCCGGACCCGCCGAACACGAGCCGCCCACACCATGCTCACGTGACCCGGGCGAACCAGATGCGCGGCAACGGCCTTTGCGGAGGGGCCTGCGGCCCCCACCGGCAGCTAGCGACAGAGCAAGGTAGTGGCTCGACACGCCAGAAACGTTTCAACATTCGGTCAATGGCGTGCCAAGCATGTCGATTCACACTATAACACCCCCGGTTTAAGGCTTGCTGCCTGTTGCCATTCACTCGCTCAAAATCGGTCACTCAGCAACGGGCAGGATGGCGGATAAACCCGCGTGTAATCGCCTCAGGCTTGACAAGTGGGTCGCACAGGTCAAATGTCCGAGTTCGAGGTCAAAGGGCAACGGATCAGCGCCCGCGAATCGCGTGCGGAGGCCACGGGGGAGCCGGGATTCTGGTGGCGTGACTTTACATTTACACCCTGGACACCCAACCGGATGAATTATGGACCGCTGCACGCCAGACCCATGCAGCGAGGGCCGGAACGGCGCGCCCTCATCGCAGTGCCATGGTCCGAGGAGGTGGCGACCGTGCCCCGGCGCGTCGGTCAGCGGTGGCCGTCGGGCGTCAGGTGCGCCGGCGGCCGCCGCTGACCGGTCGATACGGGCGGGCGCCGCGCCAGCCGACACACGCAGCCGTCGACAAATGACCGGCCGCTCGCGCACCGTCGCCCGGGCGACGCTTTCGAAGCACGCCGACGCACGGCGACCCATGTCCAACACGCAGGTCCACGGGCACACTCTGCTGTCAAAAGCAATGCCTTTACTTGGGTCAACGTTCATGACGCAATAACTCATGTGCTATATGTACTGACTTGGAGGAAAACACCACTTAACCATAACTGTGTGCAACAACGAAAGGTTTTTTGCACAACGTTTGTTGTAGTTTGGCGGTTCGGGGGTGGTGGGCATGACACGTTGGTCCAATGTCTTACACCAATAACTCACGAATGGCAGGACCGTACGAACGTTTCAAAATGGCCAGATTTACTTTTGAGGCAAATACTTACCACTAAAGGGAGTGTCACATTTGTATGAGGTTTTGAGCTGAAATAGTCATAATGAAGGCCTTTGATGCAGTTCAGGGTCATGCCCTGTTTAAGACCTATAACCCTCTGGTTCCTGACCTTAAAGGCTTCAAAGATGTGAGAGAGTAATTGCGGGGGAGTATTTCAAGATGAACTTGCAATGCATGACAGTTAAAAAACGTCACTGATATCCTGTCATTCCACCGCCCATGCGCCGGTCAAGGTCAAGAAAAATATAACTGTCATGTCGTTCATATCTCGCGTTGGTGAGCACGTTTCCAGGCATAACGGACGTTAGCTGGCCTCGCTCAATGTTGTGCAAGGTACGATGACGCAATCAAACACCGACGCATTGCGGAGCATATTTACCAAAGAAGGAAATGGTGTTGTCTAGAGCAGCAATTTCCATTAAGTATACAAACAGTTTTAAGTAAACCTTTTCATCTTAATTGACGCTTGGTTCAATGTCTCCAGGTGTGAAACATTCCCTTTAAGCTGTGTCAAGTTTCCTGGCAAGCGATTTCACAGATTCTGATCCCCCGATTCTATCATCCCTGGCGGTCTTGCGGGTCTTAGGCAGGACGTAGCTAAGGGAATGGGACCATGCCCCCGCCCCGAGCAGGATGTTTACGCTAGATACTGGGTAATTTCGCGGAATTCGGTCAAGCTGCACAGGAGTTTGCAAAAGATGGCATTTCCCCGAGCAGAGGAAGACTGCGCTGCGTGCCTGGCCCCTATGCCGTCCATGGGAAGGACCAGTATAATTTGTAATGTCAGGTTATACCACCCCGGGTAACTGACGACGGCGGCACAGGCGCTTTCAATCGCCTCAAAGTAGCCTCGCTCCCCCACACCCGGCGACTCTCTCGGCATCTCCATATTCCAGCTAAATCACGAAAAGGCTGTCTCCAAACGGCACAACTTTCCATATTTTGGGGGCTACGTTCGCCCCGCCCCCCCCCCCCCCCCCACACACACACTCACTAAGGGGCTAACCAACCACAGATGGTAGACAAGTCAGTTCAGACTCAGATGCGGAACACACTTGCCAGGCAGATTCTGAACAGGTATCCGAGCATCATTGCCCTGGACGTAGCGCCTGACCAGTGGTTAAAGGTAAACTAAAGGCTGGCGCTTAAGTCATCCAGCCCCTGCGCAGCTCTGGATGACCTGGACTTCACCGGCCTGTCAACATCACTGAAGGTCCTCATCACCGCCATGTCAACATCACTGAAGGTCCATCACTCCTCAACCTATACCTGCTTGTCAAGCATGTATGCAAACCAGATCGTAATCACTACTATTGAAGGCAGCATCAGGGACTAACGAACACTCACCCGCTAAAAAAAAAAACACACGCGCCAGGTTAAATTCCACTTTCCGTTAGCCCCCGCCTCAGAACAAGAAATGTGAAATGCTGATGTGCCCACTCCAGTTTGGCAAGCAGTGAATTTGTTTTATCCGTGCACATATCACAGCTCAATTGGCGTCTGTCGGTCGAGACGGCAAATGGGCTACGGATTCCACATGACAACCTTTAACGAGTCATGTGTTGCAGCCTCTAGGCCACTGATCCGCCCAGGCATGAGTCAAACAGAAACTGACACGGAGAGCGAAGGCAATCGATCGTGTGCAGAGGCGAAGGAAAATTCTATCAACTTGAGGGAGGACAGCATCGCCATTTTAAATTACTTCTTTTCAGTCAATACTCAAATAGGCAACATTAAATTGTCAGTTCGTTGGGGCCTCAGTCATCTGACCCCCTCTCTTCACGCGCCACTGACTCAGTCCCACAGACAGGCATGCACGCAGAGCGGCAGAGACATGTCGAGGACGCGGAGTGTGGTGCGGGAGAACTGCGAAGGTCATCACACCGTAGGGCACCGCCGCCACCTGACCCGCATGAGCGCCACGTCACGGCGGGTGGCGAACGGCGGCGAGTGAGGCGCAAGGCCCGTATCCAGGAGGGCCGCTCCGGCCTCGTCTCCAGGGCGACCGACGCCCCCCCCCCCACCCCCCCCCCCCCACTGCCCAGTCAGCTTGCCGGCCACCGACGTGGGCGAGCGCCCAATCGATGACCCTGGTGCGGGGAAGCCCCGGCAGGAGCACGATCGAGGCGATCGAGCCACTCCGCCCGCCATCGCGCCGGTGCCCAGCGCAGGGCCCGATCCACCGGTGACCCGGCACGTCGTCGTCTGCACGCTACCGACCAATCACGGCGACCCGTACACGCCATCAATCAATCATGGCGACCCGTACACGCCACCGACCAATCACGGCGACCCGTACACGTCACCGACTAATCACGGCGACTCGCACGCGCCATCGACCAATCACGGCGACCCGTACACGCCACCGACCAATCACGATGACCCGTAAGCACCACCCGAGCGATGTACGCCAATGTGCGACGGCACCGAAAAATCGTAGTCTTTACGTGTGTAAGCGATTGAATCGCACCTGAATGTCATCGATTGGGTCAGAATGGGTCATTATCTACCAAATCGCAAACGTAAGTCACCCAATAAGTCATGGTAATGCTGTAAAATTATTCGATCACACAGAGAAAGCTCCGGCTGGCCACAAAACCCATTAGACCAGTTGGACCAAACAGTTACCGCAGCGCTTTGCAAACCTCACCTCCTTTCAAAAATCAGCTAAGAGTAAATTTTCCCAACCCGCAAAGCCAATCATGGTACAGCCGGGCTCCAGAGGTAGCATTTATTTGCGCATGTGCTGTAAATGCATCGTATTTAACGCGGCACCTCCGAGATACGCGTGCCGTAATGTGCAGTATGTGCCATATGTGCTGAAATCCTGTAACGTAGTCACTAACATGGGGCATCTTCGTCTTCAAACGAGCCGCGGCGATCACAACTGAGCTCAGAGAGCCCAATTAGAAGACGTGATTAAAGGAAGCATATCCCAGCCCCATACGCAAAATACAGCCATCATTTCAACCGGCGGTGTCATGCGTGACCGGCGTGACTGGGGCCCGGATGACCTCTATAGGCATTCCAGATGACCTCTCTAGGCATTGTGATATAACTCTTGACGACCAATGCGACGCACTCAACAGCTCCCGTCATTAAGCGTCAAAATCTAACTCGATGTCAGCGAGGTGGGGTGGGGGCGGTGAAACCCTCGACAGGGAGTCGGACAAACCCTCACAACTTACGGCTGCGAAGCGCACGTCCTCCCAAGTGAGCTAACTCACTCCCACTTCCAGGTGCCTTGACACCTTAGGAGGCGAGCTCAGGTGTCATGGGCCGGAGTTCTGGTCTGCCGATTATTTACGACGGCGGAGGGCATGACGAAGCCTGATTAAACGAACGGCAACCTTTAGGCGAACCGCCGCCACCGTGTGCGACGTTGGCAGCGGCCTGGCCAGAGGACAAAGGACCGCGTGATGACCTCTAGTCGCCCCGCGACCCGAATTGGCAGCGGTCGGTCAGGCGGCCGCTGCTCCAGCGACGCCGCGCGGTC